CTTTTAGTTCCTGACTCTAAATGATTCTTTTAGTTCCTGACTCTAAATGATTCTTTTAGTTCCTGACTCTAATTGATTCTTTTAGTTCCTGACTCTAAATGATTCTTTTAGTTCCTGACTCTAAATGATTCTTTTAGTTCCTTACTCTAAATGATTCTTTTAGTTCCTGACTCTAATTGATTCTTTTAGTTCCTGACTCTAAATGATTCTTTTAGTTCCTGACTCTAATTGATTCTTTTAGCTCCTGACTCTGATTGGACTCTAACTCAAGTCCTCTGGTTCCTGCAGCTCAGCTCCGTTCTGTCCAGGTGGAGATGAACAGCCTGGAAGAGGAGAAGGAGAGTGAGTTAGAGGAAGTCCAACAGGAGCTGCGCTCAGCTCAGGAGGAGGTGCTGATACTGCAGCAGGCAGCTGAGGAGGCGGCAGCAGAGAGGGAGAATGACATCGCCTCCCTGCAGGAGGAGATGTGTCGTCTGAGGGCGGAGCTACAGCGTCTCCACGCCACCACCACTGAATACGAGCTAGAGATGACCACGCTGAGAGCCGAGATGAGTCTGAGGAGCCACCAGGCTGAGAAACATGGTAATTCAATTTAGTTTAGTTCAGWTGTAATGCACCAAGTAACAGACATTAACTTTACCAGAATGAAATAATTATGACTACACTGATTGATTTGTGTCTTCAGGTGATGRGACTCAGCACCAGGACGAGTTTGTTTCTCTGACAGACCAACATCAAACTCTTAGCAGCAACATTAAACAAATCAGCAACAAAGTGGAGCAACTGAAGCAAGATGATGTGTGAGTGGTTCAACTGATGTTGTGTTTTAGTTGTTTCTTTAAGGGATCCACAATTACTGGTAACATTCAATATTACCTGATAAACATTTACTTTAACTGTCTTTGTTTTACAGTCGAAGTAAATGTTTATCAAATTATGTCTAATGGTAAAGGTAATTGTGTATCCCTTTAAGTCATGAGAATTAAATTCTAGTTCTGGTTCATCCCAACATATCGCCACATGGCTGGAGTTCAGAAGCATCAGGTTCTGTCTGAAAGCAGCTGAACTGTCAGACTTCAMAACTGAATCTTATCTGTTCCAGGTGTGATGATGCATACCTGGCAGTCAGAGTGCAGGGCAACACTGACTCAAATGAGCAGGYAAAAACAGACTCCTACATCACTTTGTCCAGATCAGGACCCAAGCAGCAGGATCTGGACCCATMTGTGGCCCAGGATGAGATAAATGTCTTGAAGCTACAGCTGAGACAAGCTGAGGAGACGGCTCAAAAAGTCCAGATGGAGGTATCATCAGAATCCTCACTGAGTATACAGGGGTTGGACAATGAAAGTGAAACAGCTGTCATGTTAGTGTGGGAGGTTTCATGGTTAAACTGGACCAGTCTGGTGGTCAGTCTTCATTAACTGCACATTGCACCAGTAAGAGCAGAGTGTGAAGGTTCAGTTAGCAGGGTCAGAGCACAGTTTGGATCTAAATATCACAATGTACACAACATTATGGTGACAGACCAGAGTTCAAAAGAGGACAAATAGTTGGAGCACGTCTTGTTGGAGCATCTGTGACCAAGACAGCAAGTCTTTGTGATGTATGAAGAGCCACAGTATCCAGGGTAATGTCAGCAGACCACCAAGAAGGACCAACCACATCCAACAGGATTAACTGTGGACGCAACAGGAAGCTGTCTGAAAGAGATGTTCAGGTGCTAACCTGGATTGTATCAAACATACATAAAACCACAGCAGAATTAAATGTCACCTCAACTCTCCTGTTTCCACCAGAACTGTCCATCAGGACCTCCACAGGGTCAATATACACGGCCAGGCTGCTATAACCAAACCTTTGGTCACTGTGCCAAACGTTGGTTTCAMTGGTTCAAGGAGCACAAGTCTTGGGCTGTGGACAATGTGAAACATGATGTTCTCTGATGAGTCCATCTTTACTGTTTTCCCCAAATCCTGAAGAGTTACAGTGTGGAGAAGCCCCAAAGAAGCGGACCACCCAGACTGTTGCATGTCCAGAGTGAAGCATGGGGGTGGCTCAGTGATGGTTTGGGCTGCTGTATCATCATTCCCTTGGCCCAATACTGGTGCTAGATGGGTGTGTCACTGCCAAGGACTACACCATTCTGGAGGACCATGTTCATCCAATGGTTCAAACATAGGATCCTGAAGGCGGTGTTGTGTATCAGGATGACAACAGTRCACACATCAAGACTGGTGAAAGGTTGGTTTGATGAACATGAAAGTGAAGTTGAACATCTCCCATGGCCTGCACAGTCACCACATCTGAAGGTTATTGAGACACTTTGAGGTGTTTTGAAGGAGCGAGTCAGGAAACGTTTTCCTCCATCAGCATCATGTAGTGACCTGGACACTGTCCTGCAAGAAGAATGGTTCAAATCCCTCTGACCACTGAGCAGGACCTGTATGTGTCATTCCCAAGACCAGTTGATTATGTGTTGGAGGTCCTACACCATACTAATAAATTATTGTGGTCTAAAACCAGCTGTTTCAGTTTCATTGTCCAAACTCTGTATGTTTCTGATTAAAACATTAGTGTGCAGTTCGTGTTATGATGAGAACATTTTTGAGATGTTGGTGTTGTGATGAGAACATGGATGAGATGGTATCTTGATGAGATTATTGGTGTCTCACAGTTTTGACAGTGGTTCCTATGTTTTTTGTTTCAGTGTGAGGGTCTGAAGGTGGAGTTTGAGGAGCTGCAGAACTTGTACCAACACAGCCAGCAGGAACGGTCGGCTCTTGAGCTCGAGCTGCAGCGCTGCAAGGCTGAGCTCCACGTACTGCTGGGTGGAAAGTCAAAGGTGAGAGGTCATAAGGTCACTCCCCTCTACGTTCTTAGCTCTGTTATTGGTTTTAGAGGCGGAGCTTGATGGACAGATCAGAATTTATCAGGTTCTGAAGTAGAAAGAGGACTCTCTGGATCTTCTGAGGTAATTCCAAGGAAACAATGTTTTCCAATGTYATTTTTCAGTGTTTGAAAGTTCTGTAAATGTTCCACCTCAAAGAGATACAAGAACCAAAGTTCCTCCTGTCACGAGTTCTGACAGATCTGACCCCCATCCCACTTTCATGGTCTGTACCACAACCTCCAAGTTAAAGCCTGAAACTTTCTCCAGAGTCCTGCTGACCTGACAGGAACTCTGTCTGAGGCTAAAGTCAGATTCAGTCCTAGTTTGGGATCAGAACCGGACTGAATTCTGGGTTTGGATGAGACCTCCTGAGCTGCAGCTGATCTTTGGATGCAGGAGATGAAAACATCATGTTGTCTTTTCAACTTTTCTGTCTCAGCACAGAGTGTTTCTTTATTTAAACCAGAGTTTATTTAAACCAGAGTTTATTTAAACCAGAGTTTATTTAAACCAGAGTTTATTTAAACCAGAGTTTGTTTAAACCAGAGTTTGTTTAAACCAGAGTTTAAA